CAAATCGAGACTGAGGCGACAAATATAAAAATATGTTTTCCCATTTAATTTAAATTTAATTTTTCTTTTGTGTTTATTGAAGTAAAAAAATGGAGGGAAACATTCCTAGTCAGATATCTTGTCTTAGCATTCGTGTTTTCATTTTTCCTTGGAAGCAAGTGGGAACAGGATAAAGACTATTGCAGGAAGAGGAAAGTCAGCTGAGGACCTTACAGTACCTTATAGTTATTGATTATTGATTGATTGATACAGCTACTGAGCTCTATTTTCATTAATCTGGAGATGTTTGGCAGTGTCAAAGTTTCATGACATTTGCTTTTAAAGTGATTGAAAAGCTAAAATAGCAGGGCTCTTTTGATTGCCTATTGCCCCAAATCATTTCTAATATACCAATATTCTGTTTTCTCCACAGTTTAAAGTTTTAATATTTTTGAATTTGCTGTTCAAAAATCATCACATAAGTTGATTATTCTTTTCATATAAAGTAATGTAGCCCAAATACATGTGCAGACTCTGGGAACAGAGATAAATAGGGATATTGGAATTATGTTTTCTGATTCAAAAATTTTTGGAAACCCCCCCCCCCACATCTATCAGTACCATTGCATTTACCTCCTCCTTGCATTAAACTGAGTGAGAATATTTACAGTGGAATTGAAATTTTGTTGTACAGGTAGTCTTCAAATAACGACCTCAGTTGAACTCCAAATTTCTCTTGCTAAGCACATTTGTTAAGTGAATTTTGACTGATTTTATGACCTTCCTTGCCAAAGTTGTTAAGTGAATTACTGCAACTGTTACATTAATAACACAGTTGTTAAGGGAATCTGGCTTCCCCATTGACTTTGTTTGTCAGAAGGTCACAAAAGGTAATCACATAATCCTGGGACACTGTAATCATCATAAATGTGAGTCAATTGTCAAGTATCTAAATTTTGATCATGTAACCATAAGGACGCTGCAATGGTCATAAGTGTGAAAAACAGTCATAAGTTACTTTTCAATTCTTTTGTAACCTTGAACGGTCACTAAACAAACTGTTGTAAGACGAGGACCATCTATACTTGTAACTTCTGGGCCAAATGTTTGAAAACTGAGAAATACTTTCTTCATTAATAGTGATGAATGAAGCTAATTTATACCTTCTGAATTGACAGAGGAATAATAGGTGGTAAAGATTAATATAAATAAGATATCAGGCTATGGCATATGTAAGAGATGACTTGGAGTATAAGAGGAATAAATAGTAAAGAGCACAAAGTAAATAGCAACAAAGATGATTAGGGGACTGGAGGCTAAAACATAACGAACGGTTGCTGGAATTGGGTATGTCTAGTTTAACGAAGAGAAGGACGATGGGGGATATGATAGCAGTGTTCCAATATCTCAGGGGCTGCCACAAAGAAGAGGGAGTCAAGCTATTTTCCAAGGCAGGACAAGAAGCAACGGATGGAAACTAATCAAGGAGAGAAGCAACCAAGAACTAAGAAGAAACTTCCTGACAGAACAATTAACCAGTGGAACAACCTGCCTCCAGAAGCGGTGAATGCCTCCACCACTGGAATTTTTTAAGAAGAGAGTGGACAGCCATTTGTCCGAAATGGTGTAGGGTTTCCTGCCTGAACAGGGGGTTGGACTCGATGACCTCCTAGGTCCCTTCCAATGTTATTACTATTACTACCATTACTATTACATATTAATAAATAAAATGAAAGTATGACATACAGTCACTATATTATGATCGGTGGCAATCCATAGATCTGCAATAGTTGCATGTAATATTTCTGTTAGCTCAACAGATAGACCAGACTAAGAAAAAATGCCATATGTAGTAAGTGAGGACAACTTTTAATGTAACAGCTATAGTAACAGAGTCTGGCAAATTTGAATGTCTTTTTCCCTCCCTCCCTTTATCTTCATCTGAAGTAGAGAGAGGCTTTTTGAGATGTTTTCTCAAGTTATTTTCTTAGGCCAAACTCCAAACCCATTTATCTGATCCTTGTGACTGGTCCTCTTGTTTTTCAAGGATGCCCTCCCTATGCCCACTAGAGTTCTAACAAACAGTGATAAGGAGAATAAACAGATAGGAGTTTGGGGGAAGATTATATATAAATAAGACCCAGGGAGAAATTATTCTGTTAGGTGACATCAATTGATGTGTGTGACTGAGATGAGTCAGAATACTAAAAATAATAATAATATAGAATAAAAGATTAGGCCATCTGCAAATCCAGAAATGAATGAGAATGGTGACTGGGTAAACATTTTATTCTGTAGTGATGCATAAATCTGCACATGTGAACATGGAAAATAAATAGATCCAAAAACATGATTGATTTAATCATTTATGATGCAATATTGAGATAATTCATGATGGATATAAAGATGATGAGTGGTTCAAAATATGGGGCAGACCACTCTTTGCTAATGTCAAGAGTGGGTTTGGAGGAAACCGATATGGAAGAAAAGAAATGTAAGAAATAGAACAAAATTACAGTAACCACAGACAGAGAAAATAGAAGTCCTGGGTTAATAATAGAAGGTAGTTTAATCTCTCTTGATAGAATAAATGGAAAATGGGCATAAAGAAAGAGACTAGGCCTGAAAATTACTGTCTCAAACATCAAGGTGCATGTAGTCCTTGCTTAACAATAATTAGGACTAGAATTTCTATTGCTAAGCAAAGTGGTCATAGGGGCAGTGTTACATGACTGTGCCACTCAGCAATGGCAATATTGGTAATCTCCAGTTGCTGTTACTAAGTGAGGACCACATAGGTTGCTAATGACTTCCAACTTCCTACCACCTTCCCTGTTGACTTCTGCTTGTGCAAAGCTGGCAGGGAAGGTTGCAAATTGCAGACACTGCGGCAGTAAAAAAAATCTAGGCCAGTTGCTGACTGCTCAGATCATGATCATGTGACTGCCAGGACCCTGTGATAACTGAAACTTTGAGGACTGGTTGTAACTACCATTCTTCAGTGCTATAGTTTGAATAGTTGCTGCACAATTGTGGTCACTAACCAAGGACTTTCTGTAGTTGGATTTGATAGATAAAGCAGAGTGGATTGTTGCAAATTACACTCTTAACAAAACAGTAGAACGATTGATTACATGCCATTAAGTCAGTGTTTACTTTTCGCAACCATATAGGTAGAATTTCTCCAGGATGATCCCTCCCTAATTTGATCCTTCAAGACTTCTGATGTTGGTTGTTTATAAAAATGGGGAAGTACAAATGTTGATAGAACAGAAATGAGTAGTATCTGATTATGGTGAGGAATGAATTTTGAAAGAAGTGAAAGTGTCTGTGTATAAGAGCTTGCATTGGCTCTTATTATATGGAAGTGAGAGTTGGATATTTTAGAAGAAGCATTAAATCAGTAGAATGCATGAGGAATGGATTACTTAAGATTTGTGTATGGCTAAATAAGAGATGACAAAGTTTAGAATAAACTGGATAGCCCAGTCCCTTTTGGGTCACCATTTCAGAGATATTTCCTTATCTAAACAAAGAAACAGAATGACCAAGGACAGGTAAAAAAGTTGTGGGAGTCAGAGGGACTTCTGACTTCCTGCTGGTTTCCCCATTGAGTTTTCTGGTGAGAATCTGGCATCAGAAATGGCAGAAATTCCTTTCCTTTGTAGTAGGCAGTTAAGTGGCTGCTGATGGGTGAGGAAGGGGGTGAAGGAAGTCAAAACTAGCTGGGGAACTGTCATGGAATATTGAAAATTAAGATCACATGACTACAGCAAAAGCATAGCAGCTACCAGTAGCACTGAAGTAGCCACAATTTGCCCAAATTTCATGCCCTCAGGAGTCATGGGTCCCAAGTTGTGGATCACATTCTGTAAATTAGCCTGTTGTGTCCTAAGCCTGCAAAAGCAGGCTCGGGATGTTGCATTGGTCCCGGGCATTCCAAAAGGTCGCAGCGGGCCAAGTGCCCACCAAAACATCTTAGAGAATTTGTGAAGTTGCTGTCAAGTTCCAAGGGTTCTGCTCGTAAGGGCCCTGAATAGGGGTAGATTATTTTGTATTATTATTTTTTATTTCGGATACATTTATTCCTTAACAAGTTGAAGGGGTTTTGCCTGAGGGTAGCCTCGAGTATTCCACATTCCGTGCATTTGATTTGTGGAAGTATATAACATTCTCCCAAGGTATGACAGACCCGTGTGTGTGCAGATATGTTCCATCTAGGGGGGAGGGGTGTTGTGTCCTGAGCAAAAGCAGGCTCGGGACGTTGCATTGGTCCTAGGCATTCCAAAAGCTGCCCGGGACCAGACTGAGTGGTGCCGGCCTTGTGCACATGCGCAAGGCGTGAAAACGCCCTGCTACTTTGTCATTGTCCGGGTCTCCGGACACATAAAGAGGCCTGCGTGCCTGTTACTGTTCTGTTCGAGTATTGATTAAAGAGGAATAAAGAGCTGTTGAACTTCGCCATGTTTATTCATCATTCGCAAGCGAACGGAGTATTAACATAGCCCATTTGAGTTATCCTGGTTCAAAAATGCTTGCTCTATGATGCAGCATTTTGCCAGGTTAAAGGTCATGACAAGAGTTTTAGAGAAAGACAGAGGCACATTGAATACAAAATTAGGAATGAAACAAGCATACTGAAGTGGTTTGATCATGAAAGCATGATGTTGGAATTACTGGGGAAATATGTGAAGGAAAAGTGAACGGGTTGAGAAAAGGAAAAATGAAAAAAATATAACTGGATAAGATTTATGTGAACCTGAAGAAGAGAAAGGATGAAACTTGAACCAAAAGCTGCATGAAGAAAGAAGCAAATACAGTATTCATGCTTAGAAAAAAGTATGGGAAGACTTAGTAAATTACATCTAGGAAATTAGCTGTAATTTCCTTCCTTCATGCTTTATTTCTTGGGTTACTACTTATTCCAAAAGAGAATTGTGTCTGTCTGTTTATCTATCTTTATGTACACAGTACATTCAGAAAGGAAACATTCATTTTAAATAACTACTTTTTCCTTTCAGGAAAATGAAGAAGCTTTTGAGGTGCTGGACATGCTTGCCTTTCATCCTTTGCACTATCCCAACTAATTGTGGATCAACTCAGGATATCTGTAAAATCACAGATAAAATGGCAGACTGTACTCATTTAAAACTGTCTCAAATTCCCTCCAATCTCCCAACTGACATAACAGCCTTGGATATTTCACATAACCAGCTGAAAACACTGCCACCTAAAAACCTTACGAAGTATAATCAGCTCATTTATTTAAATGTGGGATTCAATTCCATCTCTAAACTAGAGATGCACTTGTGCCTCAGTTTACCTTTGTTAGAGGTGCTGAGGCTGGAGCACAATCAGTTGCGTATATTACATGGAGAAGTTTTTACTTCCTGTACCAATCTGAGAGAGCTTAATTTGGGATTCAACTTTCTGAATGCAAAAAATGATCTTTTCAAAAATCTGAAGGTAAGCCCAAGCTTTGACCTGCTATTTTGTAAGTCCATATGATTGAAGGTTCTACAACATTAAGGTTAGCGTGACATGACCATATGTGAATATGACTTGACTGAGTTATACTAGCATTGTCTCCCTAAATAATTATTATTTTGACTGATATTGATTCTCCAGCTTTTTTGATGGAGCTATTTCCTGGAAGAAGAAAAGATCTCTTTAACAGAAATGGGTTTAATACCTTCTGTAAACCCTCTAATTTTTTGCTATTTAATGATAGAAGAGTTTATGTTTATTGTTCTCAAATGTCTCCTTTTATCCATTGTTTTCTTGTCCCGTGCTTCTTGTTGTTTCATATGGTGCATGATTGGCATATAGATATGCTGCCTGTTCTGAGTCAGAATTAGAATTGTGTACATAAATGAAGATAAAGATACTTGTATGGGATGTGTAAGTATTGACTATGACATTCCCTTGTGTTTATACTGCAAAGTATATAATATGGATTCCTGTCATATAGCATGCTAATTTCTGCAGAGTTGTTTCTCTGGAATTCTGTCCTTGCTATCTAAATTGATGCAGATTGGAAACTGATGCTTTTCTGCTTCCAACTGTCATTCTGGAAACCACTTCCTAGCATTCTTACTGCATCAGGATTCTAATTCTAAATAAAGGACTTAAAAGAGTCCCCTCCCCCAATCTTGGTGATTTAGTTGTTCACAAATTCAGGGATAGTCTTTGTAGAACAACTGAGCAGAAATACACTGAACATTAATGATGCAATCAAAAAACAATGCCAAAATGGTAGAATGAAATAAGTTCTCTTACAATAAATCTGTAAGATTGTTGCTGGTTGAACTCTCCCCTGGCCTCATATCACCTTTTTTCAATCTAGTATCTACCAGGTCTGCTGGGTCTGCAGTTCACAATTCCCAAACATCTGAATGTTTCAACTTATATACGGTCATCTTAGATTTTGTTTTCCTTGACAACATATTAGGCATTCCACAAACTTAGTCATTTCATGAAAAAGTAGTAAGCCAGTAAGAAGATATAAGTGCAGTTTATACCAAAGGTTCGCAGCAAAGGAAAGGGATTCTAGGGCAACACTAGCTGTTGCCAAGGAAAGGGGTTCTATATGCAATTATTTTAAGCATATGATAATTGTCATATTCGAACATAGGCTTCTTAAACTTCTCACTATGTGGGGCATTCCAGTGGCTTATTTGAAGAGTTGGTTTACCATACCAGTATAGCAAATGAGATTTAGATGCTGAGAAAAGATGTAATCACAATGACACATAGGATCATTATAAAAATAATATTGTTAACAAGAAAATAAGCTGGGTTTGTGTAAAAACACACAAACTATATACATGCCACTGAGAGTCTGTGGATTTCAATAGGGTAGAAATGTGGAAAACTTAAGATAGATAGAGAGAGGGGGGACTGACAGACGGACAGACAGACAGACAGCAGAGACAAACAGACAGTCAGAAAGTTTGAAGAGATTCACATTCTCTGGAAAATCCCTAATGAAAATGGGTGTGGGCCAACAGTTAGCTGTTCTGTTATAGGAGATGCCCATAATGCAATCTCTACTGAAGTCTCGTGAATTTCTTAAAATCAAAGACAACTCACCAAATAATCATATGTTGAAGACCTCAGGATCAGTTTTATTATTGTTTCATTTATTTGATTTGATTTAGATGGCCTACTTAGCAAAGCAATTCCTGGTGGCAGGCACAATGAGAACATCAGTATAACACCAAGTAATAGAAATAATTAAAAACGCATAATAACAGAAGAAATGCAAAGAATGACAACCAAGGATAAACGCAACAAAAAAGTTTGATTTATAATGACTTAAATTTCATAATTTTTCAAACTTTGCATAGGTAGGAAGAGAGAAAGATAATGAATTAATGCTTCTCAGTTTTCCAGTAATTTGGAAATATATTTTGGACTGTAATTATCAAACTCTCCAGGTCCTGGCTATTTCACATGAGAGTAAACTGTAAGAAACTATCTAGATCAGTGGTTCTCAATCTTTTTAATGCCGCGACCCCCGACCGGTCATAAGTCGAGGACTACTCAACCGGTCGTAAGTTGAGGACTACTCAATTGGTGCAGCACCATTTGTAGAATGGGACTTTTGGTGGGCTCAGCAGGGCAGAGACAGCCTGGACAATTCCTATTGGCTTTCGAAAGCCAATAGAATAAAAGGGAGTAGCACAGCTAAGGAAAAGGGGAAAAAAATGGCGGACTGCATTGTTTGGCGACCCCCGTGAAATGGTCGTTTGACCCCAAATGGGGTCCCGACCCACAGGTTGAGAACCACTGATCTAGATTTGTTCTTGTTAGTGTTGCACATGATTTAATTATGGCTGCACAGAGCTTTAAAGTTTTTTAAAAATGCCATAGAGCATATGGATGATACTACTTAAAGCAGCTTGCTTTTTCCTGGAGTGTGCTTTTGGCTTCTAAATTTAAGGTTTTCTGAAAAGAGCTGTATGCATGCCTTGGCTGTGCTGATGTATCAGATCCAAAGCACTGCACAGCCATAGTTTTAATTAGAAAGCCTATAATGAATAAAAGACTTGCAACTCCTGAGAGGAATGTAAAATAGATAATTTGCTTTCTTTATTTTCTTTTTCTCTTTGCTAGAATTTGACATTCTTGGATGTCTCTCGTAATTCCCTAAGTTCTACAAAATTAGGGTCTCAGCAGCAATTAGAGAATCTACAAGAGCTTGTGATGTCTCAAAACCAAATTACAGAATTAAAGAAAGAAGATCTATACTTTCTTCGTAACTCTTCATTAAAAAGATTGGACCTTTCATCTAACCCCATAAAAAAGGTAAACAAAAACATCATGCCTAGGGTCTTGGTGGCTTGAAAGAATATGGATGAAAGTTACTTAGGAATAAACAGCATCATCTGTTTCTCTCTGTCTCTGTCTCTGTCTCTATCTCTCTGTGTGTAGAAGACAGAGGTCAGAATTATTGGCCATGATGATATTCTTGAATGTACACTAGATATGGAGAAGAAACAGGAAAAGTTAAACTGATAGCTACAATTTACGATTTGTTGTTTTGCCTCTCAACATTTCTCTGGAAAGGTTTACACTAGGAAAATGCAGTGACTCAGACAACGAATTGTGTGAAATTAGGCACAGGAAACCTATCTGAAAGGAACAACTACCATATAAAGCAGACATGTCAAACACAAGGCCCGGGGGCCGGATGTGGCCTGCGAAGTGGTTTCATGTGGCCCGCGAAGCCATCCTGGAAACAGTGAGGGAACGGCCCCCGCTGCCTTGGCCCTGGCCCAGGCCAGCTGGGAACCAATGTACAATTTTGTGGTGGCCATCTTGGCACTTGCCCTGGTGGACCATGCCTTGGCACTTGCCCCAGTCCAACCCCCTTCTGCCAGAGACCCTCAGATCTGTCTCACTCCTGCTCAGGCCCCCATAGGCACCCTTGACGCGAACGATGTAGAGCTGGCCACACCCACCCAGTAGGCCACACCCACTCCATCCATGCCCACCCAGTAGGCTGCACCCACTCTGGCCACACCCACCAGCCCCCCCCAGGGCAACCACAATGCTGATGCGGCCCTCAGTGAAATTGAGTTTGACACCCCTGATATAAAGAAGCTATCTCTACCTGGCTTTTAGAGACTCTGGAATGGAATCCCTTTTAATCCCTCAGTGGAGCTAGCAGATTGCTTCCTGCAGCTCTTCTTGATAGCAACTTCTGGACCTTGAAATTGTTCTTTTTAAATTAAAAATGGCTTGGGTCTTATAAGGTGGGCCATTAAATGAAATCTCACATTGTTTGCATGAGAATCCACATGCATGCTACTTAAAAAATAATTTTGTTTTTTATTTTTTAAAAATCCAGACTCTGCCAGCCCCTTTGCACATGGCACCATCCATTACCTTAATTGCATTACAACCTGAGTTAGGTATTGTCTAATTTGGACCTCAAGTTTCTGTGAAAATTGGAGAGAGAACAATTTTTAATAATTTATTTGTTTATCAAATTTAGAAACTGCCCATCACCCTCACAGAGGGACTGGGTGGTGTACAAATAAAATATAAAAACATAAAAACTGTATATAAAATTTAAATATGAGGCAAGCATAGTTAAAATTCAACATTAAAAGTCAATTAAAAGACTTGGCGGGGACTTTCTGGGCACTAATGAGCTCCACGGCTTTGTGGTCCTCTATGAGCCCCCTGGGAGATGGCAGAGCCAGGTTCTTAGATATTTTGAAAGGCCAAGAGAATAGGGGCCCACCTTACATCTAAAGGGGGCAGAATGTTCCAAAGGGTGGGGGCAATGGCAGAGAAAGCTCTCTTCCTGGACCCCCTCCCCAGGTGGAATTCTTTAAGTGACAGGGTCTGCAACATACCTTCCCTGCCTAATCAGGTGGGGTGGGCTGAAGTAATAGGTGGAGTCATTTCTGTAGGTAAACTGGTCCCATGCCAAGAAGAGCTTTAAAGGGATAACCAACACTTTACATTGGACTGGACCAAGCTGGCATCCAATGCAGTTTGCACAGCAGAGGTGTTACACGCACCGTTCTTTGGGATCCCAAGATTGGTCACAAGGCAATATATACCAGCGAAACTTCTGTCTACTTTTCAAGGGTGGCTCCATCTAGAGTTCATTGCAATAGTCCAAGCAGGAGATGACCAGGCCTGAGTGACCGGGCACATTGACTCCCTTTCCAGGAAGGGGCATAACTGGTGCACAAATTATGCACTGGGAGAGTTGGCTCAAAATTTGGGGGTGGTGATGGTGGGAAGACTCAACATTTTTGTTGCTCAGTGTTTCTGTCATGTGGAATAATTTTAAAACATTTTAATTATTATTTCTAGTTTCAACCAGGTTGCTTCCATGCTATTGGAAACATATATGGCCTTGATCTGAACAACATTCCATTGGGACATGATGGCACAGAGAAACTTTGTTTGGAATTATCTGGCACAAAAATACAGAACCTTTCAATGAGCAAAGTACAACTTTCACGGATCTCCAATTTGACCTTTAGTGGAATGAGTAAAACAAACCTTACCATTTTAAACCTATCAAATAATTATTTGTCTGTTATTGAAAATACCTCATTTATATATTTTTCAAATTTAAAAAAACTAAATCTAATGAATAACAATATTACAAATTTTTTTTCTCATTCTCTTTATGGGCTTCACAATTTGAACTATTTGAACTTAGAAAATTCACATGTCAGAATAATTAATTCAGCTTTCCAGTGGCTAACTCATTTGAATTACCTTATTATGGATGGTAATAGATTTCTAGAGATTACTCCTCATACATTTAAAGGTTTAGAAAATTTGAAAAACTTGAGTTTATGTCAGTGCAACATAAATTCAATAACAAATATGACATTTGCTTCACTTGCAAATTCTTCCCTGCAGTTTCTCAATCTAACAAAAACTGGAATCATTTCTATCAAGTCCAAAGCTTTTTCTTGGCTAAGGCAATTAAAAATGCTTGATTTAGGTTTAAATAATATTAAGCAGAACCTTACAGGTCAGGAATTTCAAGGTCTTAGTAATATTGAGACTCTGTATCTTTCATATAACTATCAGTTGAATTTGACGAGTGAATCATTCACTCTTATTCCAAGCCTTCGAAAGCTGAGAATGAGAAAGGTACGTTGCAGTAATCTTGCAATCACCCCCTCACCATTTCGTAAATTAAAGAATTTGGCAATCCTGGATATGGGTAACAACAATATTGCTAACATAAAGGATGATATATTTGATGGACTGCATCAGCTTGAAATTCTTGACCTGCAGCACAATAATCTGGCTCAACTTTGGAAACACACCAACCCAGATGGTCCTGTTCTCTTTCTCAAAGATCTTCACAACCTTCGCCTACTGGATTTAGAATCAAATGGCTTTGATGAGATTCCACACAAGGCTTTCCATGGCTTATATTTATTGAGAAGCTTGAATTTAAATTCCAATCTCTTAAATCTGCTTCCCAGTTCTGTTTTTGATGATCTTACATCTCTGAGTTTTCTCTTCCTCCAGAAGAATATGGTCACAGCTGTTGATGAAAAAGTATTTGGTGCTGTTTTCAAACATCTGAAAGTATTAAATATGGCTTCAAATCCATTTGACTGTACTTGTGACAGTATAACTTGGTTTGTTAGTTGGCTCAATAGCAACAAAACATATATCCCAAATTTAAACAGTTATCAATGCAACACTCCACCCAAATATCACTCTAATTCAGTAGCACAGTTTGATACTTCTATATGTGATAATGTCCCCTTTAAGCTAATATACATTTTGTGCACTACTTCTGTATTATTCCTCATCTCTATAGCTCTGCTTGTTCACTTTGAAGGATGGAGAATTAAATTTATGTATACTGTGGCTATAAACAGAGTATTAGGCCTCAAAGAAATAGATAGACCACAACAGCACTTTGAATATGATGCCTACATCATTCATGCCAAGAAGGACATGAACTGGGTATATAAGAACTTCATTACCCTTGAAGAAAATAATCAACCAGCCATTCGATTTTGTTTAGAGGAACGAGATTTTGAAGCTGGAATATCTGAATTTGAAGCCATCATCAATAGCATACAGAGAAGTAGAAAAATCATATTTATTGTAACTAAACATCTCTTAAAAGATCCCTGGTGTAAAAGGTAAGTTGAAAATATTTAAATAATTGCCATTCTATTTGGGTTTTTAGGACATGTATTTAATTTTATAGTTGGGTCTATGAATCGTCAGGATTTCCAGCTAAGGAATCCTATTTTCTTATGTTTAAAAGAAGATGGTGGGAATCCTTCAAGTTAATCATATATTCTACGTATTACTGTGGAAATATTGAGATTTTAGATTGTACCAGTTAAACAGCACAGATTTACTTTTTGTGTCACTGATCTTGTTCACAAAATACTAGATTCCGCTTTCAAAAAATAGAGCTGATTTTTGTTAAATTTCAAGACTGCTCTATTATATTTAAGAGAATTTAAATTTAGCAAGGCAAAAGTATATTAAGTGCATTATAAGATATATTATTTATTACTTCTAGTGCTTAATTACAGTATGAGTGATACAGCTATTTGAGCAGGAATGCTATCATAAATTAACAGTCCTGGATAAATTCTTGCAAACAGGAATATTTACGGGAGTATAAACTTTGTCTAGTAAAGAACTTTCTTTCCTATCCTTTGCACCCAGGTCCTGAAATTTAATTTGGGAAAGGAGCTGTTTTCAGGCTTTAACAAAGCTTTGGCAGGGGCTAGAATTACAAATCTAAGATCACAGTGTGAAACATACAACTTGTGTCACTTAAAGAAAAGTGCTCTCAGTATGTTATTTCTAGTGGAAATATTTCAAGTTGGCAGGGAAATCTGTCTGGTTCACTTCTGTATGTGAGATTCACAAATGTGTAATTTTTAAATCTTTATAAGTAAATTAGAACATGGTTCTGTATTAAAAGCTACATTTTCACAACTTTTTTGATAAAGTTCACAACTCAACAGTGTGCACATGAAGCATATATTAATGAAAAATAACCCAATACACTTCATACAAGGGAAGAACTATTTAAAACAAATTCTAGGAAAAATGCATATAAAAATGATCATCGATTTCTACCACTTGTACCTTTCAATCAGAATTATGCAAAACTCCTATTCCCATTCTCCATGTTGTGTTGCTATTTTTCTATTTATATAAAAGGCACAAGAACTGAATTCTTCCAGTCATCAGGCATATAGTGTATTCAGAAAGTACTCAGACCCTTCACTTTTGTCAATTTTGTTATGTTGCACCCTGATTCTACAGTTGTTGAAATTCATTTTTTCCTCATTAATCTACAATCAGTATTCCACAATGACAAAGTGAAAACAGAATTTTAGAAATGTCTGTAAATTTATTAAAAAGAAAAAAACTGAAATTGGTAGAAGTATTCAGACCCTTCACTCAGTACTTTGTTGAAGCACCTTTGGCAGAAATTATAGAGATTATTGAGTCTTTTGGGTATGACACAACAAGCTTTGCATACCTAGGGGATTGGGGCATTTTCTGTCATTCTTCCCTGCAAATCCTCTCAAGCTCAGTCAGGTTGGATGGTAACCGTTGGTGGACAGCCATTTTCAGGTTCCTCCAGAGATGTTCAATAAGGTTCAAGTCAGGGCTCTGGCTTGGCTAGTTTAGGACATTCACAGAGTTGTCCCTAACTGTTGTCTTGGCTGGGTGTTTAGGACTGTTGTCATGTTGGAAAGTAAACCTTTGATTCAGTCTGAGGTCCTGAATGCTGTGGAACAGGTTTTTATTGAGGATATCCCTGTACATTGCTCCATTCAGTTTTCCCTCAACCTGACCAGTCTCCCAGTCTCTGCTGCTGAAAACTGTACACAACATGATGCTGCCACCACGCTTCACTATTGGGATGATATTGGGCAAGTGATGAGCGATGCCTGGCTTCCTCCAGACATAATGTTTATAATCTTGGTTTCATCGGACCGAAGAATCTTGTTCTTCACAGACTCCTTCGGGTGCTTTTTTTTTTTTTCAAACTCCAAGCAGGCTTTCATGTTTTGTACTGAGGAGAGGTGTCTGTCCAGCTACTCTGCCATAAAGCCCAGATCGGTGAAAGGCTGCAATGATGGTTGTCCTTCTAGAACTTTGTGCTATCTCCATACAGGATCTCTGGAGCTCAGTCAGAGTGACTAATGGGTTCTTGGTCACCTTTCTTACTAAGGTGCTTCTCCCCAGATTGCTCAGTTTGACCGGATAACTAGCTCTTGGAAGAGTCCTAGTTGTGCCAAACTTTTTCCAGTTGAAAATTATGGAAGCCACTGTGCTCTTAGGAACCTTCAGTGCAGCAGAAATTTTACTGTAGCCTTCCCCAGATCTGTGGCTTGCAATAATCCTGTCTCTGAGCTCTTGCTCTCCTACAGTATGCATTGTCAGCTATGAAGCCTTCTATAGAGAGTTGTGTGTCCTTCCAAATTGTGTCCAATCAATTTAATTTACCACAGGTCAACTCCAGTCAAGGTGCAGAAATATGTCAGCAGCTATCAAGAGAAACGGGAGGCATCTGAGATAAATTTCAAGTGTTATTGCCAATGGTCTGAATACTTTTGCCAATGTGCTATTTCAGTTTTTTCTTTTTAATAAATTTATAGAAATTTCTAAAATTCTGTTTTAAACTTTGTCAATATGGGGTACTGGGTGTAGATTAATGAGAAAAAAAATGAATTTCAACAACTGCAGAATCAGGCTGCAGTGTAACAAAAGGGCTGAAGGGGGTCTGAATACTTTCTGAATGCACTGTAGATGCAGCCTTCACACAATAGTAGATGTCACATAAGTCCAAAATTAAACCATATCCATATTTAATGTTCTTTCAGTGTCTACACCTGCACACTTATCATTTTTCAGTATTCTTAACAGCATTTACATTATTCTTTTCATCACTTTCTCCTTGGATATTGAGAAGGATAGTTTAGTTTGAATATTTTTTGCACTAAACAGACAATTGGACTTAGTGGCTTAAGAAGTTCCTTTGAATTCTGGGATTCTATGCCACTAAATAACTTAAGTCTTTCAAATGTATTACTGATTCTAAATGATTCAAGAGAGTTAACGATTCATAAAGATATATGTCTCTAAAACTTATAAGTAAGTCTACTCAGCCAAAGCATGTCTTTTTTTTTTCTTCAGGTTCAAAGTGTACCATGCTATACAGCAAGCTATTGAACAAAGTCGGGATTCTGTTATACTTATTTTTCGACATGATATTCCGGATTACAAGTTAAAGAATGCACTTTGTTTACGAAGAGCAATGTTCAAATCTCATTGTGTCTTGCAGTGGCCTGTGCAGAAAGAACGTCTGAATGTCTTTTACCAGCAATTGAAATCAGCACTTCAATCTAGTAGTAGGATAATATGATTTGTTTTAAGAAAAATATTGTATGCATTTCTGGGTAATTCACTCAGTGGTTAAAATACCACACTAAAAATATGATATTGGAGGAAAAAAGGTCAATGCAAAACCATTCTTCCAGGATTTTTTTCTTTTGTCCAAAATAGGAGAGTGTTGTATCCAAGCATACAAAATGAATGAGCCACATTTGGGAACATCAAATGTCTGCTACAAGAGAAGACAGTGAAAGTATTTTGGAGGTGAGACCAAAAAATAGGGGTATGTGCTAAACAAAAGTGTATTTGATTTTAAATCCAAAACTAATCTCTCTTTCTCTTCCATGTGGCTCATATTAAAACTTGACTACCGATCTTTTCAGCAATTTCCTTTCGCTGCTTACCCACAGCTGCCTAACTCCTCTCTCTTCACCTATATGCCAGTCTTTGCTTTAGCCATACCTGGGCACCATCCTTCCCGCTGGTCTTCACATAACCTTCCTTTTCCTATTCTCTAGCCACAGTGGGAGGCTGCCATCTTGCCATCTTTTCTGACTGCTCAAAACTAACTGGCCTATACACAGCAGTTTATGTATAGAACAATTTGCATATTCCCAATACTTCATCTCTCTCCACTTTCTTACCCAGAAATAGGAGTTGCAAAGTAAGTTAACTTCTTGTCTTTGCTGCATAATCTTACTGGAAAAAAGAAATGTAACAAGAGTAGAATCCTAATATCTGTTGCACTAGAAAAGAGGGTTTGGTGAAAATACAATTGATACAGCATGTTTAGGTCTAACCAGTTTAAGTAAAATATGATAATACTTGCTAGTAGGAAAGAGCAAAATATTCCTTGCCTGAATTGTTCCAGGTGTGGAACATCTGCTTTTGAGTAGTCAGAGCAACAAAAACACATATTTTAGATATTTTCGTCATTAAGATGGATCTGTTTTGTTCCAGATATGGTTTGTTTCTCGTGAGGCAAGTAAATGGGAAAAAAAGATAACAGGTTTTCTAACTTATGCCAAATCTGAATTATCTTTTTTTAAAATTAATCAAAGATGTGTATTAAATGAATAATGGGTAAGTAAGTTAATGTTGTTATATTTGAGTGATTGTTTATAAAATTAGATACTGATAGTAGTGGCAAAACCAACAAATACTAAGCTATTTCTCAACAAGCTGTAAAACTTGAAAGGATGATAATCGGAGCATTTAAGTGATAAACTTTTTTAAAGCATTTGCTTTGAAGAGTTACTATATGGTAAGATTAGAAATTAATCATTGTGCTTATAGTTTTAGAGAAAAAAATCAATATATAATACATAGTGCAATATAGCTAATATGTATTAAAAACAGTGCCTTGCATATCATAGCAATTGATTTCAAACTATGAACAGATAGTAAATTGAATATACGTTAGCCATAATCTGTGATGTAAAAAAAATGTTTACCAGTGTCCTGTCTTGGGACATATGCAATGGGATCTAAAAGGGGGTGTGGCCTGACCATGCCTCTTATGGACAAATTGCTCTCTTAACAAGAGATCTGATTCCAGCTAATTTATCACTGTATTTAAATTTATCTTCTCAGACATAACTGGTGATCCAAATTGGTTCTTCTATGAACAGCACGATTCCTTCTATTCATGAGATACACCAGGGTCTATTACTGTTACATGCAAAAGAACATGTAAAATGTTTAGATCTTACATCTAGTAGCAATAAGGTTGTTCTCACATTTTGTTTCTCTTCCTCGCCTAGTAACTAAGGATAAATACATTATTATCTTCCTAATAATAATAAAAAAAAAGTTGGAAGGGACCTTGGAGGTCATCTAGTCCAACCCCCTCTTCAGGCAGGAAACCCTATACCCTTTCAAACAAATGGCTGTCCAGTCTCTTCTTCTTTTTTATTAAAAGTTTTAAAAAATTTATTACAATATAAACCCTCCCACCCCTCTCCCCTTCCCCCCCTCCCCCACTTCCCAGAGCTGATTACAGGGTAACAAATAAACAAACATAATCTAACTAACATAAATCAACTATACTATCAATCAAAACCATAACGCACTTTAACTTTCTCAAAACAAATATTAACAAATTAAAATAAAAATAATAATATAATTAAAACTATTAATAATTATCTAAAATCTACTCAAAAGCAAGATAATACTTTTCAGTTTCATATTTCTTTTGAATATAATCAATCATCTTCTCCAAACCATAATGTATCTTTCTTGTGAATGGTCCTTCAAGTAGGTGGAGATTTTCGCCATTTCTGCTAAATTAGACACCTTAAGTATCCATTCTTCCAAAGTAGGCAGTGAGTTTTTCTTCCAATATTGCCCCACCAATAATCTTGCAGTCTCTTCTTAAAAACTTCCAGTGTTGGAGCATTCTCCACTTCTGGAGGCAGGTTGTTCCACTGGTTAATTGTTCTCACTGTCAGGAAGTTTCTCCTCAGTTCTAGGTTGCTTCTTTCCTTGATTAGTTTCCATCCGTTGCTTCTTGTCCTGCCTTCAGGCACCTTGGAAAATAACTCCCTCTTCCTTGTGGCAACCCCTGAGATATTGGAGCACTATCATGTCCCCCCTCGTCCTTCTCTTCATTAAACTAGACATACCCAATTCCAGCAGCCTTTCCTTATATGCTTTACTACTACTACTACTACTACTACTATTATTACTATTATTATTATTATTTTCAATGCCATTGAATGGTCACTAAATGAATAATTGCAAATTGAGGACTACCTGTACTTTCAATTGGGGCTGTCAAGGCTTAATCCAAAATCCATATTCTAAGCACCCCTTTGCTGTTAAATCAAAAAACTATGTATTAATTGAGTATTGAATGTATTTTAATCAACAGCACATATACTTCCAAGATTTATGGCTTGATTTAGAAAAATCTTTAAATTGTGTTATGCTTCTATTCATGTTAACATTTTTATAGAAAAGGGCATATATAAAATAACAATTGATATGCATATTTATTTAGATAAATGTGATCTTTCTGGTAATAAAATTTAGAAAGAACAAAGAAATGTTTTTCCACAAACTGATTTCTCATATATAAAAGTGGGACATACTGGAGGGTGCAATACAACTTCCAAAAACCTGCAGGAAGCAATCCAGTGATGTGTTGATGTTGCCAGGAGGACAGGAATGACATTTTTCCAAATTTTCTGCTGGAGGGAGAGAGTTTTAAAGTGACAATGGAATTTCTCTATGAAACTCAATATTAATCTTGGGTGGTACAGTGACCTGATGTATTATCATTCTTATTAATCTAATTCAGAAGTGTATTATTGGATCAGTTTCTCTACACTGACTTGAGATATGTTTCCATACAAACAATAATAATAGAATATTCTGTGATTATTAAATATGAAAGTTATCATTTATAGCCTTATAAATTAAAAAAAATCAGCTGGCATGAGGTGAAGCAAAGTGCCAATTTTAAGCATCCTTATTTATGCACACGCTGAAGAATTACTGTTGGGAAATAATATTCTAGAGCAGTGGTGGCAAACCTATGGCACGGGTGGGCATGCAGTGGTGGCGAACCTATGGCCTCTCTGTGGGCATGCACACTGTTGCCCCAGTCCTACAGCTGGGTTTTATAAAATCTTTTTGCCTTAGGCTTCTGCTGCCGTGTGCAAAAAAGCAAAACAAAAAAAGGTTCGATCAATCAGTCAATTTCAACTTCTCACAGGAAAAAAAAAGATCTTGCAAAATTGGAATTGACTGATTGAACTTTTTAGTCTGCCTTTACCACCACAGCCACGATCACCCAATTGGCCACACCCAGCTGGCATAAGTGGGTTTTGGCTTGCAGCTTGGGCTCTCAAGTCTCTAAAAGGTTCGCCATCACTGTTCTAGAGCATCTTAAATGTTTTTTAAATGCTAAATTGTGTCACTACAGAGCAACCTAGGATATTAGAAATCTTTGGCAGGATGCATTCTGAACAGTTTGTATAAGAAGTGACTGGGCATCTCCATGGGGAAATGGGTGCATTTTGGGAAGAAGCCAGAGGACCTTGTGACAGCCATTTTGTGAGCAGGGTCTAAAAAGCCTAACAATGCTGCCCGAAACAGCTATCTATTTCAGCAGAGTTACTCGTAGACACTCCCATCAATATTCTAGGCCTCCTGAAAAATTAACCGACTCTCCAGGATTGGTTTCTTTTCCCCAATCGTTGCTACGTTCAGATTCGATGAGCTCTGGGAAGAGGAAGGAACGGAACGGCGTAAAAGCACCGGTAAATGCGTATATTACAGGCACACAAAAATGGAAATAACTGCTAAAGAGAAGCTGTCTGTTTGCCAACGCAATCCTAAAGCCGAGCCTTCTCACAGAAGCCTTCTCTTTCGGGCAGAAAGAAGAGCGAATGGTGAGGCAGGTGGAGCTAAATTCTAGTCCCGCATAGAGTTTTCCAGTGGGCCTCAAATGGACGGCTCGCCTAAAGATGTGTCCGCGAATAAAGGAAAAACAACGCTACGTCCTCGGTCCCCTTTGCGAACTAGGCTAGCTAGTTCGGGCGGTTATTTCCAAGAACTTCCTCATTCAAAGCATCCGTCGGAGGCGAAACGACGGAGAGACCGGTCCATAAGAGGGGGCATGTCGGGGGCAGGAGGAAGAGCAACGCGGCAAGGCTTCTCTTCTCCACCCCCTAATCTTTTTTTCCTCAAAACCTGGAAAAAGCACAGCCTCGCGCCCCTCGCTCCAGATGGCGTGAGCGGACTGCCCGGCGCCCAATGACGACCTCTCTGCTCGGTTTTTGTTTAGCTTAGCAACCGCCGCTCCCTCCCTCGGTAGGCGCCTGGGTAGGCAGAAAGGCAGGCCTACGGTATACGTAACCCGGGTGGCAGGCTGGCTCTCCCTCGCTCCGTCTCCAGCCGTCTTCGGTGCAGACCCGCAGAAGGGAAGCCCCGCGCTGGCAAAGAGAAAGCGACAAAGCCGCCCCAACCGCGACGCCTCTGTTCTGGCCGCCGCGCCTGCCAAAGTCCGTCTTGGCGCCGAGAAGCGGCGGCACCATGAAGGTGGCGGTCCTCGACCTGGCCACCGTCTTCGCAAAACTCTTCAAGCCAACCGCCTCTTCCTCCTCCTCGCCCTCTTATTCGCCCGCCCCCGGCGCCCCTTCGCCGAAAGTACAGCCTCTTCTCACTGCCTCGGCGTCCGCGCTGGGCGCCCCGTCTTTGCCCGTCCGCTACGCTGCCCTGGCCTCTGCTGGGGGAACCTCTATTACAAGCGTAGCAGCGGCGGCTCGGGCGTTCCCCGGCGGCAGCGGGATCGGGGCCACGGCACCGAAACCTTCGACGGGTGGCAGCTGCGCCAGTGGAAGCAGCTCTCCGCGTTCGGCCAGGGAGCCCGGGTCTTGGGCCGCCCCCGCGAGCAAGCCGCTGCTTTTCGTCACTTTGCCCGACATCGGCGAAGAGGGCGCGCCGGACGCAGATCCCCAGGAAGAAACTGCTGTGCCCAGGCAAGTCGAGGGACCCCCGATTTCCTGGCCCTGCGCGGGAACTTTATAATGGTTGACTTCTTTCTGAAATGCTGGTCGGTATTACTTTACAATCAGGTGCTTCGTATTTATCTGATCAGTCCCAGAAACAAGAGCATTCTCTTCACAGTTGGGAAAGAAGACAGAGGGATTTAGGTATACCTCATAGTGAAGTACCATTTGCAGGATATCTTTAAGGATGCATGGCATCCAAAGTTTTCACAAGTCCACTCCACTTGGTATATTAGATTGTCTTCCCTGTGCTCATAGGTAGGCTCTTGTATAGAGTTCAGGAGACCATGGTTTGAAAATCCAAAGTTAAGACTCAAGAAGGCCAGGATAAATGAACCCTGATACTTTAGCAACCTGTTTGGGGATCAATAGCAATGACGCACACTCTTACTTAAATGGTTCAAAAGACCACAAGAGCATCGCAGGATAAGGGATAGTCTTGCTGGTCCTGGTGTTCCATTTACTGTATTGAGATTCAGGCCTCAAAAAGAATCAGGAAATGGAAGAACAATCTGTCATGTTGGGTCAAACTGAAACTGCATTTAGGGGACATGTCTGTTGGTGTCTAAGTAACAATCCTTGAGGAGCAGGAGCCAAGAGGATCAAGCTTTCACATTGATGTTATTGGTGAATTTTATTTTAAAATTCCTTGATGTTTAAAAAGAAAATATATCATTATTGGTTTAGCAAAAGCATATATCTAGAATTTTGAGAACTAAATTATTGCAGAAAGAAGTGACTGTTTACTGAAAACTTTCCCCTCTCCATCAGTTCCTAATGGATGTAGATTGCATATTGGACTATAATTCTAAAATTAGTGGAAACCAGCCCTTGCTGTGATCAAGGAAGACCTGTTGGGTGCAGTGATGCATTGTCTTGATTCTCTTTGCTGTGTTTCTTTATGTGTGGAAAATAGGTAAGGTTGTCATGGAGATAAAGCAAATTTGGCATTGTTGTGCTGTTCTGGTGATGCTGTAAACTATTACTAAATAAGTCTCATTGACCAAAATATATTTTAGTTATCCATCATTAGTTAGCTTTCCTCAATCCTCTGTGCAGATGTAGATCTTAGCCTGCTACTTGGTGGATGAACTTTTCTTTACTTGCAGAAAGTTTTTTTTTCTCCAAATAATATGATAATGGAGGGTCCTCTTAGATTCCCAATATTTCTTTTATTGGTGGCGAGATGTGAACTTGGTTAAATACAATAATGGCCCTTGTTTTCCTTGTCTTTTCTTGTTAGAATTTCCCAATCTGGAAAGCCTCCTTTATCACTTCAAGCTCCAAATTTTATTTTATGTTCCATTATCCTTCAGTGGGGTAAAGGTTTATAGTTTTCCTGTTATTCCTCAAAGTAGAATTTGAGTAGTCACCTTATGAGATCATGTTCCATAATTCAAGGAATGACATTTCAGATAAAATATAAAACAGGCAGCCCCTCCTACAGCTTTAGCTGTATTTCAGTTTCACAACAGCCCGACAGTACAGCATCCCTTTAGAAGTGCTAATAGAAACTATAATTGTGAAGTTTCTTCTGTGTCATTACAAATTAAAGGCAGAGAGAGAGGAGGAGGGAGGGAGAGGGAGGGAGGGAGAGAGTCTGCAAAAGTTTCTGACTACTGTACTGGTTGAATTGCAACTGCTGGCATGTGAAATTGAACATGAGCCTAAATTTTTGCTAGGAGTTGCTTTCATCAGACAAAAAAAAAAATCTAAATATTATTTGAATCAATTGTTTTCACCAGATTTATAAATAAGATACTTACATAGGATTCAAAAACATAAAAAATAGTGTTGTACTTTTTAATTTGCTGAATTTTGTTATCAGTTTGAATTAAAATTTGATACTAAAATAGGAAGTTGAAACTATACCAAATTTCAGATTAATACTTTAGAAGGTCTAATTTAATGCTAATAACAACAAAATTTTTCCCATAAAGAGGTCACTATTTTGTCTTTTAATTTGAAAGAAAGTGGTGATGATTGATCTTAATAATTTTAGAATGAGATGGGACTGCTTATATCTGTTATAAAGAAATTGTTACCTAGTTTTTAAGATTATAAACACAGTTGAGGAATTCTGAGAGTTGAAGTTAATGTATCTTAAAAGTGTTAAAGTTGAGAAAGTGGTCTAGTTCAATTAATCAAGAATAATCTTGAATATCTTTGCCTGATATTTTTCATGGAGACTCTTAACAATCGCATTCTGAGGATTTTCAGAATAAACTGGATTATAATTTATGGGATTGTTTTTATATATTCAAGAAAGGGCTGTAATTTTTATTTTAAGAAATCATTTACTAGGAAGCAAGCTACTGACTTTGTTCCTTATCTCCCTTCCTTACCTAGATGTCTCCTCTTTATCTACCTAGTTTATCTTGGGATATTGCTGAACACATGGCATATTGCCAAAAAACCCCACTGTTTGGCTGCATCCTTCCACCATTTCTAATTTTTAAAAGTCTGTCAGAATAGTGCAGAAGCAATCTTAAGATGAAGCTTATTTGTTCCAAAGCATGACAATATTTATTATTTAAAATTTAAAGAATCTGAACAAATAAGGATGTTTAATAGGTTCCAAGTAGAATATCAGTGAGCATGTTAATGTGGCCAGCCATTGCAGTCTATCTCAGATTTTCAGTCAAGTCAGTTTCTCAGCGTGAAATTATGTGATTTGATTGCTTATGTCACAAATCCTTAGATGTAATCTAATCTCAGTGAACATTTATTAAGCAATTTGGTTTTTTATTTCAATTTATTTGAATTGCATTTGGCCCATGGCACAATAAATAGAAAGATCTTTTAATGAAACATTTTATTTTTAGAACCATTCCCAACCTTTAATTTCTAAATCCACCAATAAACACATTCAGCTGTAGTAACATGGATTGCCCTTGAATTAGTAACAATTCATATCAGTGGATCTAAATGTAATCAATTGGGATCCCTTTACAATGTAGCAGTTTTATACAGATGAGTTTCTCTTTTATATTTTATATCAACTACTGATTTACTTTTAATAACTCTAATAAGTACTGTTATTATGACTATGTTTTTTTACATTTGGTTATGTTGGTTATGTTTTACAGAATCAAATTGGTATTCTAATTAAAATTTTCTGTAAGGAACATGCTTGACTGCTTTTTTAAAATAAAAAGATATATAAGAAGAAATAAGATACACCTCTTAGAAAAGGAAAGGCTATACTATCACATTAGCATTTTTTTAATTAGACAATCCCACTTAAGCTTTAGAAGAAATGTCCTAATGAAATATTTATCATCATAGTTCTTCTTAGCCCAAGTTCCAAGTCAAATTTATACAGACTTCAGTCTGTGCTCTCCTGGTAGCCATGTGTGCTAGGCATCTGTTTATCTGATTAAAATCTTGTTTAATTGTAATGAAGAAATTATAGAAGGAAAAGCCTGTCATAGTAATAGTCCCCCCAAAACTAATCTTAATAAACAAGTTTATTGATAAAATTTAAAATTATTCTTCTCTCACATATTGTTAAAAACACAAACATCCATTATATTTTGAAGCAGATTTAGTTATAATGAATTCACCATTCATGTTATCCAAGCACTGTGATATCACTTAAATAGCATCACTTGACTGGTCCAGTTACAGCAAAGTATAACTGAGTACCATCAACTTACTGATGATATCTAACTGAGCTGACAGCTTCTTTTTTTTATTGAAATTTTTTAAAATTTTACAATAAAAACCCCTTCCCCAATCCCTCCCACCCCACCCCAAAACCCTCCCCCGTTCTTCCCAGAGCTGAATACAGGCTTAACTAGATCTTAAAAGAAAAAAAAGTTTTAAACCCAAATAAACCTTAAGCAAATATAATTACACTCAATAAACAAATTGTAAAATACTTTAACTCCATTATATATGAAAAACAAAAAAACAAAAGAGAAAAAATAAAAAAATAAAAAAGAAATAATAATAAAAAAATAAAAAATTAAAGAATAATAACAATTACACTTCTAAATAATATTTTAAACTTATATAAGTTATTCAAAAACTAGATAATATTTTCTTATATCATACTTATATAAATTTTATACAATATAAGTATGATATTGTATAAAAAGATACTTCTCTTGCGATTGATCTTTCAAGAAAGCCGAAATTTTTGCCATTTCCGCTAAATAGGAAACTTTAAAAAACCATTCTTGCAAAGTAGGCAAAAATTCCTTCTTCCAATATTGCCCTATTAACAACCTAGCCGCAGTAATTAAATTTAACATTAAAATAATCTCTTTATCATCACAATCAGAAACAATACCCAACAAAAACAATTGTGGAGTAAATTTTATCCTTCTTTTAAAAATTCTTTGAATATTCCACCATAACTTAATCCAAAAAGCTTCAATATTTTTACATGACCACCAAATATGATAATAAGTAGCATCTGAGCAACCACATCTCCAACATTAGGCTGCAGTTTGGATACATACGAGACATTTTTTGTGGATCAAGGTGCCATCTATAAAACATTTTATAAAAGTTTTCCCGTAAGTTTTGGGCTTGCGTGAATTTAACATTCCTCACCCAAATAATCTCCCAAGTATCTAATAAAATTGGTTCATCAAAATTTTGTGCCCACTTAACCATACAATCTTTAACTAGCTCTGCTTCTGAGTCCAATTCCACCAAGACACCATAAATCTTTTTAATGTGGGTTTGACTTTGATCTCTAATTTGTTTTAACAAATTCTCATCCTCTCTAAGCAAGCCCACCTTATAATCTATCTTCCACCTTTCCAATAGTTGTCTATACTGAAACCATGAATAAATAATATTTTCTTGTGCTAATTCGTCCATAGATTTTAATTGCCAATTTTTACCATCCCACTTAAGTAATTGTATATAAGAAGTAATATCCATCTTAACTCCTCTCCTTATTCCTTCTATTGCATGCCATGGAATAGCCCATAATGGAATTCTTGAATCACTTC